AGTCATTAAATCTAATACTTCAGGCCGTATAAGCATGATCAAAATGAACATATTACCCAATTTTTTATATCTCTTCCAGCCACTTCCTCTGCCTCTTCCAAAATAATTCTTTGATAAGCTAAACAGTATCTTTAATTGATTTATTTGGAATAACAAAAAACCTAGACTAAGACTTTGCTTGTTGTACCTGCCATATGAAAGAGGGGGGTTACAAATACCCAATCTTAGACTGTATTACTGGTCTGCAAAACCGCGCTCAGCCACTTTTCCACTGAGACACCCCCGACCTGGATACAAATTGAACAAACATCAGTAACACATCTTCAATTAAATCTGTATTTATTTTCTGCAATAACCCTTTTTTTAAAAACACAATAGATATTTGGTATAGGGCCCATCAGTATTTGGGAGATAAGTCTTCTATCTCTCGTTTTTCACCTATTTGGGCCAACACATGTTTTAAAGCAGGAAGAGCCGATGGGGGTTTCAAAAGATGGGCAGATACAGGTGTACAGAAGGTGGCAGATCTTTATAAGGATGGCAACCCTCTTACATTTGATCAGTTATGCGAAATATACAGCATCCCCAAAAACATTTTTTAAATATCAACAAGTTAAACATTTCATTATGTCAAAATATAAACAGACTGTATCTGAGCCACCATTATCACAATTGGAGAATGTCATACTTCAAAGGCCCTTGGGTAGAGGTCGTATCTCTTTATTCTATACAGCTCTATTAACACATGACAAAGAATCCACCTGACAAGTTGGACGCTGACATCCAAGAGGAGATACAGGAGGCGGACTGGGAAACTGCATGTTTAAAAGCTCAAAGGCAATCAATTAATACAAGGATGAAACTCCTCCAATATAAGTAGAACTGAATCGCTGGTCGCCTGTCATCCCAGATAGTTGCAGTAAATGTTTAGACGAGAAGGGCACTCTGTTTCACTGTGCATGGAGCTGTCCAAAATTACAGCAGTACTGGAAATCAGTCACGCAAACTCTATCTAAGATTGTTGGAGTAAATATACCTGTTGAAGCAAAAATGTGTGTGTTGGGTATAAATCCAAAGAACCGTGATTTTAGCTCCAGACAGCTAAAATAAATTGACTTTGGACTCCTGCAAGCCAGGTGCTTAATGTGTTTGTATTGGAAGAAAATGGATGAACCCACAAGTAGTCACGTGCGAATCATAAACGAATCGTTCAATACTCGAGAATCACTTTACTGACTCAAAAATTCAAAGGCCCAAATGAGTCATTCACTGACTCATCCCTGTTGCTGTTAGCAAACTAATTTCATTAGTAGAAATATATCTAACTTATAATTAAAATTGTGGGGAAAAAAACAACAGCCAGTTTCTTAACAGAAACATTTCTGCTCTGGACTGGAAAGAAAAACCCTGAGTAGAAAGCTCACATCAAGACAATATTGCCGTACATTTTGGGAGGAACACCCTGGAACTGGTGCGGGAGTATGAAAGGGAATCAAGGAAACTAGCAGATTACAGGAACCATCTCCGTTTCAACCTAAGATGTAGACAAAGCAGAGTTGTTCCTAAGAGCCTGCGCCTTGGATTCA